GCAGGAGGGCTTTGGGGGCCTGCATAAGGCGGGGGATTAGTGGGTTGGGCAGGGGATAGGGAGAGCTCTTCAGTCAGATTGGGGTCAGAGGAGGAGGAGGAGGGGTTTGGCAAAGAGGCCAAAGGGAGTGTAGGGGAGTTCTTTGCTAGGAGTATGTGGGCAGTATTACAGGAGAGCAGAGATCAGGGTGGGAGCAGAGATGCCAGAAAGCCTGAATGTAGGGAACCTCCGTCCACTTGCCGTTCCTTTGGCAAAAGTTATCTAGGTCTGTCAGGACATTAAAGTTGAGTGTGCCCTCTGGAGGCCATTTAGACTGGTTGCCCAGAGGGTACTGTGGCCAGGCCACAGTGGAGAGGAAGAGTAGCCTTTTCTTTTTTATAGAAAGACCCAGTTTGGGTAGATTTTTGGCTAGGCATCCTAGTGGCAACTTGGGGTCTGGGTGAGATTTCTGATTACCCATATTTCTGCAATTAACTAAGGGCAAGGTGGGGACACTAGAAGGTATTATACCCAACACAGACAGAAAAACTCTTTTCCCGGGGGAGATGGCTGAAAGAACTTACAGGCTGTGATGATTATAATGATAAAGAAAATAAAAAGAGACAGGGCTAGAACTATTTGCCACATGGAAGAATTAGAGGAAGTAAGAAAGACACAGAACTAGGAAGTGGGGCTTTAGCGGTAAAAAGAGTAGGAGGAAAAAGGAGAATAATTTCTAGAGGCAAGAATTCAGTGAAGGTCCCCTGTAGCTATGGTCTGTTACCCATTGTAGAATATCTGCTACATCGAGGGAAGCAGGCCTGGACCACTGTATATTGGCTAGTTGGAGCCTAACAAAGCTAGAGAATTTACAGTAAAGACAGAACCACATATAGGATTAACAGACAAATGGTGGGTGCCCCCTGAGAGGGAGACCAGTCTAAAGTGTACCCATATAACCCCTGGGCCTGGTCACCTTCAGTATCCTGAGGTGAATCACCATTATGCTTTATGATGTCCCTGTGGAACCGCGAGTTGAGGCCCACACAAGCCCCGTAGCCATCAGGCCGTGAGACTACACATAAACTCACTCACTCACTCACTCACTCACTCACTCACTCACTCACTTGGGATTAGGAAGAAAAACAAAGTACAGTTATTTCCTAGATGGGAGCTTGTATGCCAAAGGGCTAGTTTGAGATAAACATTTTAGTGGCAAAAGCTAGGGGTTTGGTCCTGCTGTGGGGCAGGGCCTGGGTTTGCAAACGGGGACTTCTGATTTCCCAAACCTTGGCTGCTGCTGCAGGGATGATCAGAAAAGCGGCTCAGTGTCCTGGGACATGCCACCAAACACCAGAGGATAGGAGAGGGTTCAGGAAGGTGGGGACATCTCCCTCAGAATCCTGACACTGGGAAACACCTCACAGAGAGAAGACAAGACAGTAGGGACGTCTCCTCTATGCTCAGGTCCTTGAGACGAGGCTGGGGCCCTGGGCCCACAGCGAAACTGGAAGGAGTATCTGACACGGCCACGATTATGAGCAGGGAGTCCATGGGGCAAGCAGCGGGAAAGGTTTTGGGCAATAGAAGTCTTACCTTGCAGCGGAGCGGTTCCCTGGTCGGCCTTCGGATGGAGGAGTCAGTTTCCCCCAGGAGGGGTCCTAGAACCCCTCCTGGGTTTCAGCACCACTTGTAAGGGTTATCACTGAGTTTAAAGTGAGGAAACTGAGGCCAGCACAATAAGATTAAATACCAATTTATTCAGCTCCTGGGTGAGGTTCTGTGGTCCCGGGGAAAGAGGCCAGGGAAGTCACGCCTGACTCTTCTGGGCATGGGGTTTTATAGGGAGTGAAGGCATTTGATTGGTTGCAGGGAAACAGGGCGTGGTCAGGGCAGGCTGCTATTGGTAGGTAGGCGGGATTTTCCAACAGTGGGCTAGGTGCCAGATGCAGAGCTTAGTATTGAGTGCAGAGGGGTTTTCCGAGGCGGGCTAGATGCCAAGTGCAGAAGTGGGCGTGGCCAAGCTCCCAGCAAGGCAACTGGCCTTACATTCTGACCCTTTTGATGATATAGGGTTTCTGCTGAGAGATCTGCTGTAATTCTGATAGGCTTCCCTTTGTGGGTAACTGACCTTTCTCTCTGGCTGCTCTTAGCATTTTCTCCTTCATTTCAACCCTGATTAATCTAATGATTATGTGCCTTGGGGTTGCTCTTCTTGAGGAATATCTTTGTGGTGTTCTCTGTATTACCTGGACTTGAATATTGTCCTGCCTTGCTAGGTTGGGAAAATTTTCCTGAATAATATCCTGAAGAATATTTTCCAGCTTGGATTCATTCTCTTCGTCACATTCAGATACACCTATCAAATGCAGATTAGGTCTTTTCACATAGTCCCATATTTCTTGGAGACTTTGCTCATTCCTTTTTACCCTTTTTTCTCTAATCTTATCTTCTCGTTTTATTTCATCCAGTTGGTCTTTGACCTCTGATATCCTTTATCTGCTTGGTCAATTCAACTGTTAAAACTTGTGCATACTTCATGAGGTTCTCATATTGTGTTTGTCAGCTCCATTAATTCACTTATATTCCTCTCCAGATTGTCTATTCTCATTAGCATTTTGTCAAACCTTTTTTCAAGGTTCTTAGTTTCTTCACATTGGGTTAGAACATTTTCTTTTAGCTCACAGAAGTTTCTTATTATCCACCTTCTGAAACCTGATTCTGACAATTCATCAAACTCATTCTCCATCAGGCCTTGTTCCCTTGCTGATGAGGAGCTGCAATCCTCTGAAGGAAGAGAGGCATTCTGATTTTGGATGTTTTCAGCCTTTTTGTGCTGGTTTCTTCCCATCTTTGTGGATTTATCCACCTGTCATCTTTGTAATTGCTGACTTTCAGATTGGGTCTCTGAGTGGACATCCAGCTTGTTGGTGATGATATTATTTCTGTTTCTTTGTTTTCCTTTGGTGGACACCCCTTCCCCACAGAGCTGGACCTTCCCAGGTTCAGCTGTGCTTGCTGTGAAACTTTCAACTGTCAGCATTTCCAATTGCTGTTTTTTTGTGCGTGTGGGACCAGCCAACTCTGATCACCTGGCTCCCTTTTTTTCTTTACCTAATTGAACAGTTGATTCTCTTCCAGGTGCCCCAGTCCGTTGGAGCCCCCTTTTTTTCTTTTCCTAATTGAACAGTTGATTCTCTCCCAGGTTCCCCAGTCACCCGCCAAAAATGCGCCGGTATCTATGCAATTTCCCGTGTGGCAACCACACTGGCTGAAACAGTGGCGCTGAGATTCGTGGTGCTTTTCTGCCAGGGAATCTCCCTGTCAGGCTCCCTGCTTCAGTCCCCCTTTCAATCAGCTGAATGGGCGATTCTGCCTTCCCAGAGCTCCAAATGACAATTAAAAGGGCACCCAGTCCTGCATACTCTGCACTGAGAACCGCAGCACTGGGATACCGGCAAAACAGCTGCGCTGGCCAAGAGTCACACTGGAGATCCATGGGGCTCCTCCGCTGGGAATCTCCTGGTCCGTGGGCAACAAAACTTCGTCTGGAAGTCTGGCATCCACTCACTCCCTGTTCCTTCACTGGGAGCTGCAATCGTGAGCTTCTGCTAGTCGGCCATCTTGGATCAGCTTTCTTTCTTTTATAGAGTGAATAGTAAAGTATGAAGGTTTGTTTGAACTTGTCTTGTTCTATTTCTGTATTTAATTATGTATGTATGTGGTGTTTTGTTTTGTTTTGTTTCAGGATATGAAAGGGGGTGTTTTTGATAACTTTAAATTGTTCCATGGTTATGAAAGTCTTTAGATTTATTGATTATGGGACTAAGTTATGATTATGTATATTTTCTATAAATTTTCATATATTCTTAAAAATCATCTATGGTCAGACCTATAATCCCCTCACTTTGGGATACCAAGGCAAGGGAACTACTTGAGCTCAGGAGTTCAAGACTAGCCTGGGAAACATAGCAAGACCTCTTTACTACTAAAAAAAGAAAAATAATTAAATTAGCTGGATGTAGTGATGTGTGCCTGTGGTCCCTGCTACTCTAGAGGTTGAAGTGGGAGGATCATTTTAACCCTGTGGGTCAAGGCTGAAATGAGCAGAGATCATGCCACTTGCACTTCGGCCTGGGTGACAGAGCAAGAACTTGTCTCAAAAAACAAAATAATCATCTACTATATCCAGTCTTCCAAAGTTATTCATATATTGTCTTTAATTATCTTGGTATCTATTCTTATGTCTTTCTTTTCCTTTTAGACTTTATATTTTCTCTATTTTTACACACTTTTTATACACTCCATATATACACACACACACACACACAGACACACATATGATTCATTAAAACTATTAGCTCTTTTTTTTTTTTTCTGAGATGGAGTCTTGCTCTGTTGCCCAGGCTGGAGTGCAGTGACATCATCTTGCCTCACTGCAACCTCCACCTCCCAGGTTTAAGCAATTCTCCTGTCTCAGCCTCCCAAGTAGCTGGGATTACAGGAACCTGCCACAACTACTGGCTAATTTTTGTATTTTTGTAGAAATGGAGTTTCACTATGTTGGCCAGGCTGGTCTCGAACTCCTGACCCCAAGTGATCCTCCTGCCTTGGCCATCCAAAGTGCTGGGATTACAGGCATGAACCACTGTGCCTGGTCAACACTATTAGCTCTTACATTTATATATCATTTTTTTTTTTTTTATTGAGATGGAGTCTCACTCTGTTGCCCAGGCTAGAGTGCAGTGGCTTGATCTGGGCTCACTGCAACCTCTGCCTCCCTGGCTCAAGTGATTCTCCTACCTCAGCCTCTCGAGTAGCTGGGATTACAGGCATCTGCCACCACAACTAGCTAATTTTTGTATTTTTAGTAGAGATGGGGTTTCACCATGTTGGCCAGTCTGGTCTCTAAACTCTGACCTCAGGCGATCTGCCGCCTCAGCCTCCCTCTGTGCTGAGATTACAGACATGAATCACCATGCCTGGCCCTGTCCTATAAATTATCAATATTTTCATTACTTTCTCCTTTCTTTGTTTTTGATGTCGGAATCCAAGTTTGCTGGACCACTGGAGAGCTGGAGATGAACTGTTGGTTAGGGACATCTGGGCACTGATTACTTCCCTAACAACTCTCACCCCATACAAATAAGATCTGGGTGTGGTAAGTATAATGCAAGAATCAGGGGAGTGCAATATTTGTAAACAGATCATCAAAGAGAAGCACTTACATTGATAGTATAAGAATATTGATGTAAATAGCCTGAGTATAAAAGAATAAATTTCACAGTTTTTTCTTAAAACTTTTAGAGCCCTACATGTACAGACAGTGTTTTCAACAGCCCCATGCCTTTTAGGAAAACCAAGGACAGAGGGAAAAAAATAGACCAAGATAAGCTATACCTGTACGTATTCTCCATGACCAGTTACAGCCTTAAGTACATGTCATACACATGTCAACAATTTATGAAAATATATGAAATGAATGTGGTCTCTTAAAATCAATTTATAACCAAACTGAAAACTTTAGTTCTTTTCCCAATGTTTAAAGTATTTTTTAATTCTTTTTTTTCTTCCTAGTTTAAAATAATGTGTTTGAAACTTTGAGATGTTTTTTCCATGCATAGCTTTAGCTGTGGCTTTTGGACTTTGATTGTGAGATACTTTCATTACTTTTATTTCAAGATTGTCTTATGTTTTCATGGCCAATGAGAATTAGAGTACCAATAGATTACAGATAGATTGATAGATGATAGATAGATACATAGATAGATAGTTTTGGATTTTTAAAGTTATTTTTATTATTATTTTCTAATTGTATTAGTGTTGTCAGAAAATAATCCAAAACTTTATCTTAACCACTTCAGGAATAGACTACTCCTCTGACTACAGGCATTTTAGTACAGCTACAGAAGAAAAAGCAGACGTCAAGTTCACCATTTATCACTGTTCAAAAACCAGCTAAGTTATGTTCTTCATCATGATCTCCTAAAACTCCCATTGCTCCCTTTCTGGGGAAGGAAAAGAAGGTAAAGCACCATGCAGTAGGTAGATCTCCAAGTGAAGCTCTAAGGGGAAAATATTAAATAGGACTTTGATAGGTGGGAGGAAGTTAGGTACCTTATTGGGCAAATGTTAAACAAAATAAAGCTGGATTGGTTATATTAATATCAGACATGGCCCAACTCAAGATAAATATGGCAAAGCAGACAAAAACACCATTTACTTATCATTACAAAACCTGATAAATCATATTCTACCAATAATATAGCATCAATAAAAGCATACATCTTAGGCCACACAAAGAAAAGCATAATATTGTAGATTACTGAAATTTACTCAATTTTTATAGATCTAGTGGATAAAAAATTAATACATGGAATATGTATCTGCTAACCCGTGGCTTGCTGTGACATACAGGAACCTCATTCTAATGCCTTACACACGTGACCATCTCACACCATCCTTAACCTCTACATGATATCATACACATGTCCAACACTCCAAGTTTCTTAAATAATGTATCGTTACTTCCAACTTGCTCTCCCACCATACTGCCTTGGGATATGCATTTTCTTCTCTTTGGAGTGCACTTACCATCTCCCTCCTCCACTTAAGCTAATTCCACTGTTAAAATTATGCCAGTATATGGAAGGTAGTACCTTGTGATAAGTAGAAGCATGGGTTATGGAGTCATTAATATCTCATTTACTGCAAGATATTGGAAATGCTATTTAACCTACAGTGTCTTAGTGTCCGTGTTTGTAAACTAAGAATAGTAACAACTTAACTCATGGGCCTATGCTGAGAATTAAATGAGAATTTTCTATACTGGAAAAACATGCAAACAAGTCTTTAAAAATATTAGACTACAATGTATGTTTTTAAAGTAGTATAAAACATATTAGAAATTGTCATCTGATCTGTTAAAATCTCCAGATACACACATACGCACACACAAAATGAAAATATTTTAAATTTCACTAATACACTAAATCTGCAATCATTTCCTGACCAACAGTCAGACAAGGTCAATAACTTATTATATTTAATCTTAAATTATTTCTAGTAGACTGTGCCTATAATGATCAAAAGTATTAGAGTGGCCTGTTGAAGAATAATTTCTTATAAATAAGTAAATGAATACTTTTAAATGCACTTAAGGTAAACACATTTCTCTCTTCTTCATTTGAAACCTAAATTGGCAATTCAAGAAGTTAATAAATCCATTATTTTGGGAAATAAACTTACTGTATTCAAATTTGAGACATATAATACTCCAGATAATAAGCAAGATCTCAGATAAAAGCCAATAAAATAAACCGCATGTCAAGTCTACATTGAAAAATCTTCATTCACATGTCTCTAAAGGTGGAATTATAATGCTTATATGGTTAATCTTCTATAACATTAGGTAAAGCCATCCTTTGAGACATCCAAGTGATCCTAAGTTTCAACATCTTCAGAAACCCAACTCGTACAATGTGGAGTCCAAATTTTCTTTTTGTCCTTATTTCCAAATTTAACAGGAAAAATGAAGATTTACTTATGATTTTATTACATTTAAACAATGTGGGGACAATGATAAATTTCATTAAGCTTAACATTTTTGATGTTTTCTAATTATAGAAAAATATATGTAAAAATACATTTAAAAATAAATAGAAATATTTAAGAAAAAATAAATATGACCTATTCTCCTGATATTCAAGACAGCTCCTATTAATATTTTACCACATTTATTTACTAACTTGCTTAACTATTTTTGTGTGTATGATGTGTTCCCTGATTGAATAACTAATTGTTTTCAATGTCAAAAATTATATTCATTTTGCAGCTTTCCATATAAACTAACAAAATGCCTTTCTGAAAAATTTCTACAAATTTATAATCTTGCCAAGAGCCTTAAGAGCATTTGTTTCTCCACAACTTTGTCAACACTGTGTAATATTATTAAATATTTGTAGTTTTTTTAACATCTTAGTATGTAATTAAAAGATAAAGTTAGTGATGTAAAATTAACCTTCGATTCATTGGCTATTTGTGTTTCCTTGGTTAATATATTTTAACAATCTTTGCTATTTTTCTACTGAAAGAAAAACATTTTATTATTAAATTATAACAGCCTTTATGTATTTTGAATAATAATCATTGGCTCATTGGCCATTTCTTGAAAATGTTTATCCTATCTTGATATTTTCAATTTATAGATTAAAATTTTTAGGCAGAAGTATATGTGTATGTGTATATGTAGACACATAACCTCTATTGCCTTTACTCCTTGAATCTCCTTCTCCGAGAGATAGAAAACTACTCATATGTATTTTTTCCAGACTATATCTGATCATTTGTATTTTCCCCCTAAATTTATAACAAATTCCTGATATATTAAAGAGTTGAAATGGGGAGAAAGTTTCCACTTCCCTTTCAACTCTTTAATACATCAGAAGTTTATTTTAGTGTTTACTATTATTGACCCAGTACTATTTATTGAAAACAAAATTTCTGAGAAATGAGATGATAGCTAATAACAATCTGAACTAAGTCCCCACAACTTACTGTTTTTCTCTGTCAGATAGAGTCTGTCTTCAATGTGGTAATAAATCCTCTGAGTCACTATCATAGCTGTGAATTATTTTATTATCCTGTCTCTTAATTTGTTTTTTGTTGTCTTGCTCTTATAGAATGTGTGCTCCATTAGGAAAGGACAGTACAGCCTCATGCAAAGATCAATATCAACCATCTAGCAGAGTGCCTGGAAGATAAAAAGGACTTCTTATGTATTTATTGTCTTACTCATTAGTAAGAAATCATTAAAACACACGATAAATTATAATCAATTATATTCAAAAAACGAAAAGTAATTTCAATGAATTTTTGGTAAATCCTACCTATCTAGCCAATAAAAATATCATACTTGAAAGATATGTAATGACATGAAAAATGTATAACTTAGTGAATGAAAAAGTTATAAAACTACATGTATAAAAATACTGTACAATAAGCTCTCATTTTTATTAAAGAACAATATAATCCAGAGAACTATGCATTGAAATAATGTTATTTATGTCTAGAAGGTAGAATAATAAATTATTCTATTTACAGTTTCCTTGATGCTCTTCAATTCTGAATGCTCAAAGGAAATACATATCACTATAGTAAATTTTTATTTTTAATAAAAATATAAGTTAAATTTTGATCTGGAAGAAATATCTCTGCCAAATTGAAAAAATTTAGTCAAAGATACTTATTTGAAAGGAGTTTTTGAGTTTTGTCATTTTATAAAGCAACCTAACAGTCTTCTAGACAATAAATGATCAGCTGGGAAAATAATTATTTAATCTATCAGATTCTCTAGCTCTGAGCACATATATGTTCTTATTTTCACTCATTTTATGCAATGACAGTTTTGTGATAAAATAACTTTAACATGCAATAAAGAAGATAATCTCTTCTTTGTCATATACTGCATCTACCCACTTACTTTTTTTCTTCTTATACTTCAGGAGGCTGGATGCTCTTAACTTATATAGTTCAGTTTTTTCAATCTCTGCTTGCCTAATCCTTTGCAATGTGTTAAAATTTGGTGATATAACAGAATTTATCAAATTTCAATAATAAAATCCTAGAATATTATAGCCAGAAGGAATCTTAGGAATCCTGTTAGCCACGCTCTCATTTTGCATATGAGAACACTGAGGACCAGTAAGCAGAATCCTGGTCAAATTCTGCCATGCTAGTTAATGTTTCCTTCACAAACACTAGTGGCTACTGCAGGAAAAAAAAAAAATCATTATGAAATCCACACATTAGAAAAGCCTTTCAAATACTAAGATTTTTTTTAGGATGGTTTTGGCAATGTCACTTTTATATGGTGTCCTTGCAATACAGGAAAAGATGCTACCACCATTCAGCAACTGAAGGATAAAGGATCTCTCTAGGGATACAGTGGACCCTGATATTCAGCAGTTGATCTAATCACAGCACCCCAGGCAGCTAGTTAGCATCCTGGAGTTAATGTGATGCTTTCCAAGCTTCTAACTCATTCATTAACGTTCATTGAGCCCCTCTTCTGGGTAAATTTCATTAAGTCCTTACGAGAAATAAAATGAGGAAAAGTATAACTTGTCTACAAAATAATAAACAATTAAATTTCACTTAAGAGTAGAGCATGCATCTCTGATTCCACTAGCAAGACACGGGGACAAAATGGGATACATAGCCTATGTTAAAACAAAATACCACCAACAACAAACCTAAGCATAAATCCAGGAAAGTAAAGCGAAAGGACAGCAGACGTCCTGTATGCTAAGTGAAAACCTCCACTGAAGATTTGCATTTTATCATTGCATCTAGCCTTTGTGAAAAAGAGAAGCTCCTTCATTGATGAGCAGGCTAATTAATACTACCATCCATTGTCTCCATTAAAATGTAATTAGTCTCTGTTTGAAAGAAACATTTAAGATTGCGTGACTTGGAAGGAGGGAGAGGAATATAACTAATCCTATTTTTACATTCAACCAAATATGAAGACAACAGAAGAAAAACTGCAAGGAAAAGCAATGAAATTATTTTCACAGTATATGAACATCATCACTCACTGCTAGTCTGTCACAGTATTTCTTAAAAAAATTTTGATTTCAGTACTTTAGATTTCAGTCCCTGGATGACAACCTGTAAAACATCAACATGAACTAAACATGGAAGGATCACGCAACCCTGAATACTACAAGAGGAAGTTGATCAGGTTTAGCTTCATATATTTACAGTTAAAATAGAACACATGAGAAAATCTTTTCAGAGACAAAGGAACTATCTTTATAGAGGCACATTCAGAAATATGATAAAATAAATGACCGATAGATGTAAACTTCTGCAATTTTCTGGATTAGCATAAATAATATGAAAAACAGCTCTGGTATCTTATCATGTATTCATCAAACATTTGCATGCAATATATGAGAAGCTGAGGCAGGGGTGTAAAAAAAAATGAACAAAGCGAAAAGATTCCCACTTTCATGGAACTTACACTCTAGACCAGGGGTTGGGGAGGAGAGCAGATGATAAATAGTAAATAGTGACAAATATAGATGAGGCCCCTATCTTGTGGGGCTCACAATCAAGTTGGGAGAAAAATGTATAAAAATAAATAGCCACATGAAGATTAGAAAAAGCAAAGAAAGCACTGTACATAGGGATAGTTAAGTCTTTGGTTGTTCATTACCCTGTCTTCATTTGAAGAGTTTTGGTTTCTATAAAGACCAGTCCAAAGCCAAGAATTACATTGTACTGATGATACCATTTATAAATGAGAGCCAGTAGAGAAAATACATAAGAAAGTATGTCAAAGTCCTAGGAAGTTAGGGTACTCTAGAAATTTCCCTAGCCATAATTAAGGGTAAAAAATAATCTGTTGGGGAGGATACAAGATGGTGGATTAGACACAACTCCAGCACACAACACCCAGCGAGGGAGACGCAGAAACCCGGAGATCTCCTAGCTCCAACCAAGGTCCCAGGTGCATTTTAATGGGTCTAGTCCAAGGGTAAGCAAAGCCCACTCAGGGCAGACCAAGGTGGGGAGGGGTTCTGCTTCACCCAGAAAGGGCATCTGACTGGCAAGTCAGAGTTTCTACCTCTGGCGCTCTGGTCCAGATACAGTGCTTCCCCCAAAGCCTGAGCAATACACAGAACAGGGGATCTTTGCCAGTCAAGTGTTGGGAATTACAAGTACAGAGTTGAATAAGAGTCTGCAGACTGAGCTATCACCCTCTCCCTGTGCCCGGAGAGAGGGGGAGCTGTAAGTGGGAGCAGCTGGGTGGCTCCTATCCTAAGACTGGAGAGAGAGAAAGCTGAAAGGGGGAGACTGCCTGGTGTGGCTGGGTGGGTCCCTAACCTCCCCCACAAACCTCAGAGGGCTGAAACTCTGACTCTAGTGGGTTGCATAGCCAATGCCACAGTCTGAGATGAACCCTGAATGATCCAACCCAGTGGAGGAAGGGCACAACCCACCACTAGAAGGGTGGGACTGGGCCACATGTTTTTTAAAAAAACACAAGAAGCCTACCTAGCAAGGGGACGGTGTTCTTGAACACCCAGCAGTGCCTACAGGTCAGCGGAAGAGGCAGGCCTAATCTCCCTGCATAAACAAAAAAGACACAGGAAGCTTCCGTAGTTACCTGAAGGAGTCCCTAGAAACCCAGTAGCGCCCCCACAGGCAGACAAGCGACCTCATCAAGCAGCTTTCTGACACCACAGCTAGGTAAATCCACAAAGATGGGGAAAAAACCAGCACAAAAAAGGTGAAACCACCAAAGACCAGAACACCTCTTCTCCTTCAAGGGATCACAACTCCTCAACAACACAGTATCTCAACTTGACTGAGAAAGAGTGTGAAGAATTGATGGAAACAGTATTCAGAAGATGGATAATAACAAACTTTTCAGAGTTAAAGGAAGATGTTTTAACTCAGTGCAAAGAAACCAAAAACCTTGGAAAAAGGTTAGACGAAATGCTAACTAGAATAACCAGCTTAGAGAACAACATAAACGACTTGATGGAGTTGAAGAATACAGCACAAGAATTACGTGAAGCAAACACAAGTTGTAATAGCCAAATTGATCAAGCAGAAGAAAGGATATTAGAGATTAAAGATTAACTCAATGAAATAAAAAAGAGAAGGCAATACAAGAGAAAAAAGAGTGAAAAGAAATGAACAAAGCCTCCAAGAAATATGGGATTATGTGAAAAAACCTAATCTACGCTTGATCGGTGTACCTGAATATGACGGGGAGAATGAATCCAAGCTGAAAAACACACTCCAGGATATTATCCAGGACAACTTCCCAGGCCTAGCAAGTCAGTCCAAATTTCAAATTCGAGAAATACAGAGAACTCCACAAAGATATTCCTCAAGAAGAGCAACCCCAAGGCACATAATTGTCAGATTCACCAGGGTCGAAATGAAGGAAAAAATGCTAAGGGCAGCCAGAGAGAAAGGTCAGGTGGCCCACAGAGGGAAGCCAATTAGACTCACTGCAGATCTCTCGGCAGAAACTCTACAAGCCAGAAGAGAGTGGGGGCCAATATTCAACATCCTTAAAAGAACTTTCAACCCAGTATCTCATATCCAGTAAAACTAAGCTTCATAAGTGAAGGAGAAATAAAATCCTTTATGGACAAGCAATTATTGAGAGATTTTGTCATCCCCAGACCTGCCCTACAAAAGCTCCTGGAAGAAACACTAAGCATGGAAAGGAACAAGTACCAGTCACTGCAAAAGCAAACCGGTTGGCAAAAACCAAAAATGCAATGAAGAAAATGAATCAACTAATGAGAAAGAATACCAGCCAGTAACAAAATGGAAGGATCAAATTCACACATAACAATATTAACATTGAATATAAATGGCCTAAACACCCCTATCCAAAGATACAGACTGGCAAACTGGATACAAAGTCAGAACCCATCAGTGTGCTGTATTCAAGAAACCCAACTCACATACAAAGACACACATAGTCTCAAAATAAAGGGACAGGAGAAGATTTACCAAGCAAATGGAGAACAAAAAAAGCAGGGGTTGAAATCCTAGTCTCTGATAAAATGAACTTCAAGCCAACAAAGATCAAAAGAGACAAAGAAGGACATTACATAATGGTAAAAGGATCAATCCAACAGGAAGAGCTAACTATCCTAAATATATACGCCTCCAACACAGGAGCACCCAGATACATAAAGCAAGTTCTTAATGACCTAAAATGAGATTTAGACTCCCACACAATAATAGTGGGGGACTTCAATACTCCACTGTCAATATTAGAAAGATCAATGAGACAGAAAAT